TTGCATACCACGGATACCTTCATTCCTCCATGTCTTTATCATAGCGTCGAAAGCATTATTGTACACCTTGATACCGCCGCCCTTGACGAGCTCTCCTTGCAACTGCAATCGAGTCTTGGCTACCTGTTTTCTCCGTAGTAAGCAACGATTCTGCGCATTGATTTAAACGCCAACCTCAGCAGGGTTGGATACTGTCACCTGCGTTTATGCATCATTTAGCAAACCAATATGAGAAGTAAACAGACTACTGACAGCTATGCAGGCTGCCAAGCTACCGCATAGAAAGCTTTCTGGGGTTGAGAGTTGACGGACGCCGGCGGACATGGTTGGCACCTGCGGAAGCAAAGGGACAGCAGAAAGGCAACCGAACTGTGATAGCGCCTGAGCAAAGAATATGACTAAGAGCGTATAACGAAAGGTGCAAGTACCAATTAATCAAATCCCTTCGCGTTAGCTATAGCCTATGGCGCATTCCCGAATGCCACGAAGGACTACTTATATCAGCTCTTGAGTGGTTTCCTAAATTGATCAAAATCGCTTTTGGTAATTTATTTTCTTCTGGACCAAATAAACTTGTTGGGGCTCGGATCGTGTGCTCAGAATTTTGCTCAGGCGGCAGTATCTTCCTAACGGGAAATCCTGAACACTCGATGCTAGTCATCGATCGATCGATTATCAGTCTGCAGTGCAGACCATTCCATAGATGATCGAGGTCATGTCCTCTCATAAAATGATAGAAGTGAACATGTTGATTCAATTTATGTTAGATCTAGAGTATGGACTCTTAGCTAGACTCTACTTGACAAAATGTGCAAACATAACACCATAGATTACAGCCTGCCATTGCATACAAATAATCGCAGGGGATGCCTCATTTTGCAAACGAACTATGTACCTAGGTGCTTTGCATGTCAAATTTTGAGATCTTATATTTGTGAGGAGTCATTTGCAGGGTGTATACGATCTATGATGCTATGAAAATGTGATCGTCGGTGTGTTGAAAAAAACCATCCAGTTACAATATGTCTAGGGTCCTAATGTTTGTAATGTCAATCGAAGCCGTGTCTTTGACCTGCGCAGCGATATTATGATCCGACGTGACCCTCTTGTATTCTCCAACGCGTTGCTGCGCTAGTAAAAGTGCGTTGAAAGCCTGCCCAAGGTGAACCATCAAACGCAATGATCGCGAGTGAACTTCCGAGAGAACCGACAACTCCTCTTCTCCAAGTGAGTCGCTAGACGACTCGGACTCAGACCAATCCTCTACGCTCTCCACTTCGTCTGCAAAGTCAGGCAGCTCGAGGAGGCGGCGATCCCATGGGCGGACAAGAAAGAATGTCTGTCGAGTAGGCTTTGCGCGCGAGAACTGAATTAGTGTCTCGTCCGTGGTGATCAGCAAGTCCCGAAGCCCATCTGCTTTCACTCCATACGTGGAATGAGCAGCGTCACCGCGCCTCCGTTTGACTTCCGTGACACGGAATGCGATGCAAGGCAGACGGAGTCTGCAGTTTGCGAAGAGGGGAGTATTCATGTTCTCGAGCAGGTCGTACAGTTTCGAAGCTGAATCTACATCTACAATGTTTTGCAACGAAGAGACCGCTGTCTGAATCTCATCTTCAGACAATGATGATAGGGAGCATGGCGGGGTTGCATATGAGATGATGCTGGCTGGAAGGCAACTATTGAACTCGGACGATTGTCCGACCCAGTCCAGGGAAGTGATGTCGCCCGACCGAGACACGATCTCCTGCAGGAGCCGCCCGAGCGCGCTCTGCTTCCTCTCGCCATAGATTACAGGTAGGTGGACGTCGAAGATACCAAACAATGAGTACGCGATGTCTTCCTGCACAGTAGTGACGCGCTTCGATGCCCATTGCAGTTTCTCTCGAGCGTCTCTCATCCCTGGACAGAAGGAGATCAAGGCCTGCGGATCTATTCCTGTCGCACTCTCCAACTCCTCCATGATTGCTGGGGACTCTTTGTGGTTGGGAGAGCGATCGTCGAGATATAACGACCAATCCTTCTGATAAAATCTAACGACTTTCGGAGCGACGAATTCTTGAAAGGTCCATCCCCGCTCGTTCCAAACACTCCTCGCCAGTGCGCCAGGTTGGGATGAAGGAGGGACATCGGATAGGTAGACGATGGTGAGCGCTGAGTGACGGTACCAGACGAACATGGAGTTGACCGATTCTTGAAGCTCGACATTGTTGCTCTTATCGATGCAGCATGTGTCCATCCACGCCCAGAAATACCCCGCATCACGAGCGATTTTGCAGAACGACTGCAGTTTCGCGATGCCACCAAGTCCCTTCAACTCGCGTACATTTTTATCCTGGATGTGGTGCAGCAGGGCCTCCGTCTCTTCCCACCTGTGTGATAGCAGGACGCAACGGAAGTGCATCGCCACCACCTCCTTGATGCGTTCTATTTGGAGATCCGAACGCTTCGTTATGAATGACAAAAGTTCTTTGTAGTCTGGACTTATTTTGAAGGAGTTTAGCTGTGCTGCTCGGTCGCACAAAAGACCCGTTGAGGTGTTGAGCAGACGTAGCGGAGCATATTCGAGTTCAATCCAAACAGCCCTTTGAATAGCATCTTCTACTTCGGATGGACAGACATACAGCTGATGCAGATCTGCAGAACGAGATAGGCATTTTTAAATTATGCAGGGGTTTTTCATGGCTTACCTCGTATGTGCGGTTCGGAAGCATCATCCAACTTGGACAACATGATTGTGAAGGCCTCGATGGCTTCGTCGTAACGTTGCGCACCACGCAGAGCTGCATGTGTCAACTGGTATCCAACATGAGACAAAGGATTGAGTTCGGTGACCTATGCATGGCCGAAGTCAACATGGTCTGCGAAAACGTAGATGGGTCATCGCACCTTTTTCGCGTCGAGGAGCGCATCCTCCCATAGCATTTTGCTCAAATTTGCCTGGCTGCGATTTGCAAAGATGACATCGGATGTAGATAAGTCATCATCTATACATGCATCGCGTGCTGTGGTGATAGCTATAACCTGCACAAAACATGCTCGAATTGTGGCATATATGAGTCAAGGACGGAAACATGCCTTTGAGCGATGGGCGTAGAGAGTATGGTCGTTCGCATCAGTGTTAATATCTTGCGTGAGTAGTTCTTCGGCAGTAGACAGGTCTCCATTTATGCTTGCATCGCGGGCTGTTGTGATGGCGATATTCTGCAAGTAGCATGCTCGTTTTTTTGTGTATGAGTCAGGGACGAAAACATGCCTTTGGATGGATACCCTGAGGTACTGCCCACTCCGATATTATGTTATCGTAACCTCCGCTGAGGATGCGGTTGCTGTCCAAGTAGAAAGCGATGCATTCCGTCAAGGAATGGTGCTTGAATATGCCAACGGTTCGTCGATCTGAGAGTTGCCAGAGAAAAACGCGTGTGTCATCAGATGCGGAGGCGACGAATGTCTCAGCAGGATGAATGGCAATGGCATTGATTTGGGCAGTGTGGCCCGTCCAAGGATCACCGACCTGCTTCCAGGTTGTTGTAACCCATTCGCGTATGGTAGGATCGTCCTTATCGCCACCTGTGAGAAGGCGCGTGCCATCGGGTGTCCATGCGAGTGACGAGTTCATTGATTTGTGAGCCTTGAAGGATTCAACGCATTCCCTGGTGTCTGAATTGTAAATTCCGACACTATCGTCTGTTGCGACGGCAAGAAGTTTTCCAGACGGTGAATACCGTATCCAATTGACATAATTACCACACTCGATGGGATCTCCTTGCCGCTCCCAGGTTTTGGTATTCCACAATGTTGTCGTCTTGTCATATGAACCAGTGGCCAGCACTGCTCCATCAGGGGAAAATTCCAGCGAGGAGATAGTATGGTAGTGGGCTCTGATTTTGATGAGTGATTTGCTAGTTTCTCCGTGCCAGACGATGAACTCTCCAGAAGCATCACCGCTTGCCATCAATTGTCCATCTCGTAATATTGACAATGTCCGCACCCCACCAAGATGCCCCTCCATCTTCTTCAACACAACACCTGTCTTCAAGTCCCACAGACGAATCGTGTGGTCGAATGAGCCCGTAGCCATCCGTCGTTTATCGGGGAAAACTGCGACTGCCCTTATGCTTTGTTCATGACCTTTGAACTCTCGCAAGGGCATGGTGGTTGTAATGAGCTCCGACATTTTACTCGATGTTGATGGTGTTGAGCAGGTTGAGGTGGACTTGGAGGGTTTGTGCTTCTCTAAGGTGCAGAGGTGCGGGTGTTATGCGTTTTATGATGCTCCACTCCTCACTTTCGATAGACGCCCAGGACACTTAAGGTTGTTTGCCTCCACGCCTCTATCACCCTATTGTCATAACGCTGTCCTCGACAGTATACTCTTCAAGCGTCTCAGTGCATACGTGCGTCCGACTCTTGTCTTTACAGCTTCCAGAATATATTGCATCGAATCGAATCGAGCATTCGGTGCTTTCTAGCGGTCGAATCAGACTATCTATCCTGCATGAATATCGTTGTTTCTCGTGTCTAGCAGCTGCTCTAGCTCATCGTCATTTCACTCCTTTGAACGCATGCATATAGCTCACTGCAATAGGCTCTCAAGATCCCTGCAAGATGCAACCAAATTTCGTGGTACATCTCCTCATCATCCCTATACCGCCAATGGCCGCACCTCACTGCAATGCCCCTCCATCTTCTTCAACACAACACCTGTCTTCAAGTTCAACAACTGAAGCGTCTTGTCATGTGAGCCTGTCACCATACGTTGTCTACTGGAAAAAACTGTCACTGCGATTATGCTGCTGTCATGATCTTCAACAACTCAATGGGGTGCGGTGCTTGAAATGAGCTTCGACATCTTGCTGGATGCCGGCCACGTGAAGCACGGTCGAGGTAAACTTAGGAGGGATCGTGGGTGTCTTTCTTTAAGCTGCGTGTATTGTGCGACTCTATACTGCTTCACCCCATTGACTTGCCTTCTGTTTCCATAAACACCCTAGTAAGCCATGAATGCCATTCACCTTTACCTCTCAGGTGAATTTGATACCACCAGACGGGAGTCCGCCAGAGTGCCTACCCAAATACGAGGTTACGGACGTCTAGCTTGTATGAAACATGGAAGAAGTCACCCGACGCACAGTACGCTGAACACGGAACCTTTCCTTTCCTTGAGGATGCAGATGGCGAGCCAGTTGAAGAGTCCGAGATATCTTGCATCACGAAGAGTTTGCAAAGCTGCTGGGCTGCCTTAAAGCAAGACCGAGCTCCCGATACCTGGGGCAAGGCCGGAAACAAGATCCTCGACGAAGTTGCGGAGGAGATGGCACGTTTGCACCCTATTCTTGCCTTGTGCGAAAACGGATGGAAGGTACATGCGATTGCGACAGAACGGTATCCCTCATGGACAGCTACACACCTGGACAAGAAAAAAAGGAAGGTTGACAACACAGGGTTCAACGATCGTGGCACATCAAAACAGCAGAAAGTATCTGGGCCTGTTGAGCCTGAGTCTGATGTATTAAAGTCTCGAATCACTGGCGATGAGTCTACTAGTAACCTCTCCGAGCCTAAGGTGAAACAGGACACACCGCCGAAAGACATTATCACGACTCCCATCCTCAATTTCCAGAATGGTTCGAGAAGCGATATCAGCACTTCCGAGCAGGAGCAGATATGGAACGGCAATACAGTCGACATCATCAACAAGATCTCTTCGGGGAGTACGTGTCAGTCCCATATACAGCACCAGCACATATACCTGCCCCGTCCCATGAAGAGAAAGACGCAAATGACGAAACACGTCCAACATAGGGTCAATGACCCCAACGGACTAAATCTGATGCAAAAAAAAAAAAAAAAGATCTCTTCCGGCACCTTATACTAGTTGGCATCCACCGCGGGCTGAGAGGTTGACATCAGGTGGGCTGCTGGCGAGGACCAAGGGGCAGCAGGGGAGGACCAGGTGGGCAGGCCCGCAGGCTGCAGCAGGCAGTATCAACAAGCTATCATTTTTGTGCTGTCGTTTGTTTGTTCTTGCAATGCATATCAGCATCGTTTTCGCGCGATTTCCGTAGTTTTATTGTGTGGTACGACTACGGTTATGAATCTACGACAATCGACGGAAATATCATGTGCGAGAATCAGCGTGAAACTGTGAGATCTCCTTCGAACAGCGTCGCTAGAAAATCTACGATACAAGTCCCATTCTCTACGGAAATCCTGCGTCCGTGGCTCATCAATATTTCGGCCGTTTTCCGTCGATACGGTGAGGTCCGATTCTCACTGGGAACGTTCAGCGCTCAGTATCTTACTTACTTTATACAGAGGGTAATGACACAATTCTCATCACTCTGCAAGTCCTTATCTTCTCGTTCTTTAGTTTTTGCAAACTCTTTGTTGGCATCATGAGGGTCGACATGAGGATATATGTGTGATGCTACATATCTACATTCCATGTCGGCTTTTTCACGTTTTCATGCCAAAACCTCATGCCCTTCCACATCGCATTGCTCTCCCATAGTGTTGCAAATCGAACATCGTCCCGAGCTGTAGCACATTTTCTCGTCCGTATAAGTTGATCCATGTGATATGTTACCGTGTCATGTCTGGAATCAATAGCTTCGTCAAGACGTCTAGGAGAGCTGGAGGATCCTACTCGCGTGCCTCGGCGTGTGACGGGGGATACGGTTTCCGTATTATCATGGTTTTCGCTACTGCAGGTTCCTGGAACCACTGAATTGCCCGGTTGTTGTGTAGCTGGAGGTACATCCTGCGCAAACTGCTTGAAAGTGTGATTTGAAGCTACCGGCCTAGTAGAACTTTCACCATCCTCCCTGCTCCCGACTTTGGCAGTTGCAGGGACTGGTTCTAAATGCAGAAGAGGCAAGCGCGAACGGTTCCTGGAAGGAAATTGCAGTCGGGTGAAGTCGATGGCCAGCACAGGAGGAGAATCTTTGAGACACGTAACAGAACTGGTATCGTTCGCGGTGAGAGTATATTCAGGGGTATGTTCATAGGCACAATCAGTATCGACGGCCTTCTCGTGCCCATGATCATTTCGCAAAGAACAGTGCAATGATGACCCCTGAGATTGATATTTTGACACAGCTTTGAAGGGAGGAGTAAGGTCACGAGGAGCGGATAGCGTGTGATCATTGGGGGGAGAATTTGCGATGCATATATCGGGTGTAACCACACGAGTTGATCTAACGCCGTGGTTGTTAGTGACTGCGGAGTCGTGTGCTTCTGTAATCGCGATGTCGGATAAAGTTTCTGTTGACGAAGACGATAGCTTCAAGGAGAGCATACGGCGTTTGCGTGGACGTCGCGGGAGACTGCCTCCTGATTCACTATCGTGATGCAGTACGTTTGGGTAGGGGAGGCTGTCTCTCTGGCGCTTTCGCTTCTTGAGGATGTTCGGCGGGATGCGGCGGAGAAATGTTTGGGGTTGACTCCGTGGCACAGAAGAATGAGATGCCCGTTGTGGATATCGAGGGCAGACTACTGAGGTGAGCATGTGATCTTGGATTCCCATGCGACTGAAAGGTAGTCCAGCATCAAAGTCATCTGTGGGGAGGTACATGAGATCCTGGAGTGGTATGAGATGTGGCAGGGAGATATCAAATAGGCAGAGAAATTAGTAGGGTGCCATAATAAGTAGAGTGTTTGACGGTTGAGGAACACAACATGAGACGTAGTAATCGTACCATCAAGTACGTAGCCCACAATTGGAACACGAAACGAATGCGCGACGCAGTGCAAAATCCAGCTCGCATGTATCACCTACAGGGAGTGTGCTTAACAAGGTAAATATGATGTTAAAGAAGTAGCTCACCACTATCGATCTTCTGCAAAGTATGCTTGTCCACTCATCTTCGCGACTGACGGCAAAAAAGTAAGACGCGGCAGCACTGGTTCCTCCAGAATGTATTCTGCCTCCATGAGTCACTGTACGCAGCAGGTAGAGCAGTTAGTCGCAATATTGTACGGTGTCACTTAGATCCTCAATGATACACTCAGAACTTACACCATGTCTGAATGGTTTCTTTCGGTACCCGCATACTAAAACACGCTGGAACACGAGTCAGAGGTGCAGAAAATACACCAGCCAAAGTATCGGAACCAACACACCTGTGTCGTTGAAAAGCATATTAGTGGAAAGATGAGTGCAAGAAGATGCTTATATGCGTTCGGCCCCTGGGCTCAGTAGAACTCAAAGATCTTTCGGAGTTTGAACTCGAACGGTAATGCCGCAAAGATCCTCATAAACGCACATCTTGAAGCTCTACTTGCTTACAGTTAGGCAATATAGGCCATTGAACTAATGCCAGGCCTACATGCCAGCAAATCGATGCCAAATCCTAGTTACTTCTGCTATTTCCACGTGGCCAGTGTCATTAATATTGTACCAGTGGGACTGGCCTGAACATTCTCATCTGCATCATTCAGCACGTCACTCTTACAGTTAAAAACCGGGTGGGGCATCTAAACAATACTGAATTGACATTTGTCACCAACGTCGGAATAGACCGCCGGAGGGGCGGGAGAAACAATTAGTTTGCAGTCGGCCTGGCAATTGAAAAGAGAATAAAGTAAAGATCGATTATCGATATAGGAATTATGACCGCGGTCAAGGAATCCACGGTCCGAGTCATTCACAAGAAAACTTCAGCTGTATCCGCCATGGGCAAGATGAATGGATCTGCGCATACTAAACAAGTATCCCTGGACCCGATCACGGCTTAGTCTGCTTGTTCCCGAAGTTAATTGAAATGAACCTTCGTTAGCACTATGCACCATTTGCTATTGCCTTTGTTTGTACGTAGATGGATGCATACCAATAGAAATTGCCGATGCTGGTGAATTACGAAGATACGACCCGCGCAATAAAAATAGCACAAAAGGAATGACCACGTGCTTCAGAATAGTTCTTCCAATTAGAGGTAAAAGAGGGCGTATCCACAAGACATTTCAGTTATTGGGTGTGCGCATCGCAAGGCTGGTAGCGACGAGCAGGTCTAGCATGAATTTCCCCGACTGTCGTAGAGATGATTACAAAGATCAGGGATCGCAGAATGAGAACGTACGGGTTGAACAACAAGAACACCATCTTTCGTCACTGACATGGATGTAACACGATATGTCGCTATAAGGGCGTCCTCGGCATCCAAACACTGACGAGAGCTACGTGATAAATGCTGGGATGTCCGACCCGCTCCTGTACGCACCTCCATCGCAGCACTAAACAGCCGCGCGGTCGTTTGCCAGCGATACTCCTTATGGTCGGGACCCTCGAAGAAAACCGTTCCGTTGAAGGCCCCACGCTTCCTCTCCATCTTGACTGGATATTTGATACCAGTCATGGATAAAATCGTAGGCCCATGGTTTACTTCATCCAAGAGTGGTGGTCCATTGTACGAAGACTGAGCTCGACAAAGCAGAGGACCATCTGAGCCATCAGCATGCAGATCAAAAGTCCAGTGCATCGAACCCCGAGTGTTCTGCATGAAATATCTGTAGCGGCGATAGACAAAGTAAAAAGAAGCTATCGAAAATATCCTCAAAACTCACAAAGTTGTGGTCTTGTCTTCCCCTTTGATAATCTTGCGATTACCAAACACACTCCCGAAATTGTAGATGTGCAGCGTGGTCGGTTGTTCTCTCGATGTGTTGGGCATGTGCAATGACCCGAGCCTGAAAGGTCCTCGAGGTAACAGTGAGAATCACGTGTCCGCTATGTACTCCCCCTCCAGAGCGTATTCGGGGCGTGTCCAGTCTAGGGTCTTTTAGGCAACAAGGACAGGATATCACGGGCTTTGTTTAAGAGACAAAGATTTCTATTTCCAGAACGTCGACTGCATCCGATTATCACGTCTGAGAGCTATTTAAGGACTTCTTGAGGGCAATGGCATGTGGAAAGCTCCGTAAGCAGATTTGAAGATGAAATGGGAGACGACAAGGCTTACCGTTTTCAGCATGACCAGACTCCAAAGCTCCACGCGCCTAAAATTTGTTGCCAGATGAGGGCGATGTGTACAATTCCCCGATAACGAGCACCATAATGGTCCAAGAGCAGCTCAAAGAAGCATATCCGTGATTGAGCGCACGGAAAAGTTACTAGTCCAACCCTGCTGACCAGTGTCATATGTTTATCCATAGCTGAGGGAGTAAAACAGGTCCGCTGCTTTATCTACATCTTCTTGAGTTTCCCCACACCTCGATTGCAGTTGTCGCGCAGAGCAAAGAGCACCGAGCTTCCCCGTGAGAGTGGTGATGTCCGAATGAAATAGCGTGCGACAGCTGTATAGGGCAAGGAATCGACCTAGTACCTGCTCTGCCAAACCATCCCCCGAAGTGACTCGAAACTAACCTTAGGCGGAGTTAACCATGATCGAATCATGTAAGAACTTCTAGTCGGAAATTGAAACCACCTAGTGCCGTGAAATAGGTAGTACTGTCCTTCGGGAGCTCGAGATGGAAATATCGACCTGGTCCACATTATTCCTCTAGTCACGGTAATGCGCACCCAGCCTTCCGGCGCTGACTGCAAGAACAGTTGCGTACATGACATGACACCCAAAGATATGACCAGCCAGCAGAGGTGGTATCAGGCGCAGCTAGGTCGGAATGTGAATGATACCCAGTCTTGTGCGTTGTAAGACTGCGCAGTCATCCGGTGATCAATATATTCACTTGACCGTACAAGTGTTAGCTTCTTGAACGAATCAAAAGGCGTGCTGTGAAATCGGCTGGAATCGGAATCACTGCATTAGTTGTAGATTAAGCAGCCGTACTGAAGATACCACACGCACCAAGTTGGGCAGAATATGCTATGCTCTCGGGTATCGGAGGGCGCTCTCTTCCTAGCTGAATGTATTGCTTCCATTGGCGATCGCCCGGAGATGAAAGATTTCGAGTTTGTCTTGTATTCTTGATTGCCAGCAAGTGCCAAGTTGCCAGAAAGGTCTAAGATCTAAGGGATGACGGACTTGTAATTCCTCGTGCACAGTGACGAATTGAAGCAAGGCTTCAAATATAGTAAGTAGTAGGAGCCAATGTTACATGCAATTGTCATGCAGAATAGTCGTCTGGCGACAACGTAACCTGAAACCGGGCGTCAAAGCAAATCCGTCCAATGTCTACCCAGTATACGGATCCTGCCGTCACGTAAGTTGTACTCCAGCGCATTGCCTGCGCATGTGATCCTTCTAGGATCTTCTGCACCGAAGTTCGCCGCTAGGTGGATGAAGCCTATGGATGGAAATCTGCACGAAACCGACTAGGAGCCGCCATATCGGAACAGTGAAGATCGTTAGCTACACCCATGAGATCCGAGTCGTACTAATTGAGGCGGTTTCTCAGCCCCAAAATCGATTTCTGAAACGCAAGATGGTTTGAGCCCATGCTAGAGTTGGTTTTGGGCGCCCTAGAGGCTAGTACTCGTGCCAGTAGTAAACTTTTACTAGCTTCTTTTGGATTCCGCCCCAAATAGCCAACTCGGATTATACCCGCATTTTCCGCTTCTGATGTGAAAATTTACGAAAACCGAAGATCTATGTACATATTGCACATAGGTCGAGTATCCAATTACCAACCCCGTCGCCGGCCACCTTTCCCCCACTTTTCAACGAGGAATAGAGCCATATACTCGTAAATTTCTCTATACGCACCTCTGCGAGTAATCGAGTGATCGCTACTCGACAGAAAACAGTCAGCGTTGTACTACATGGAATGAATTCCAGTGGCGAACCTGTCTGTGAACATCCTGAAACGGAAGTTTCTGACTTGGGCTTCTGTGAACATATCCAACAAGTGAGCTGTGTTTGCATAGTGGACATTGTCATCTCCGCTGCCATGGGCGAGCAGATAGTCTATGCTCTTGAAGCCCTCTACATGTGAAACGGAGGCGTTGATGTATCCTCTAGGATTATTGTCAGGCAAGCCCATGTACCGTTCTGTATAAATAGAATCATATAGTCTCCAACTGGTCACAGGCTAGACCTGCTAGTGAGTGCAATGACTCTGTCAGTGAGAGATGCACATACAGCAACGGCCATGGCCAAAGTGTGAATACCGGCATTTGCTTCGGCAACCTTGGAAGCCATGAACCCGCCATAAGACTGTAGTAGTCGATTGGTATATTAGCCACAGAATCCAGAATATGGCTCACCCATCCCCAAATTCCAATACGTTTCGGATCAACATAGTCTTTCCCAGCCCAGATGCTGCCAGATGTTCAATATCGCATCTCATAATTTCAGGCGTTCCGTACCGTGCAGCATTGATTTGGTCCTGGGTCTCCCAGAAGCCAAGATTATTCCTTACTGGGTTGCGCAGGTTCCGCCCCTTCAATCCAGTCCCCCGACCGTCCACGACGACGACAACATACTGGAGTGTGCAAACGAGATATTCATGCCAGTCTCGTTTGTACTCAACATTGACCTGCTGACTCTCTGGCCCACCATACCTGAAAGCATCAGAAATAAGCGCGTTTGCTTTTAAAAAGGCATGGTACCGACACGTAGAATAAGACTGGGTACTTCGTCCGCCCTGAGTCATCCATGCGAGGAGGGCGCATTTCCTTTACGTTTAGCTCTGGGGGCTGTATATAGTTTCATCGCGAGAAGGACGCATCAAATAAACTAACCAAAGCCATCACTGTCTATTGTCGAATATGTGACGGCGGCAGATTCAAATTCAGTTAGCGTGGCATTTAATGCAGAGTTGTCCGTCAGAATATAATCGAAATCTGAAATTAAGATGTAAGCGCTAGTTGTACTGATAATGGAAATTAGAGATGACATCACCACTATTGCTAACATCGACAATTCGCTGCCATGGTACAGCTGGTCCATTATAATTAAGAAGATAAAATCCGGCTTCAGGTGAAAAGCTAGCACCGTATGAAGAGGGTGTTGATTCATCTGTGAGCGAGATTGGCTCCACGTATTCTGAAACTGATGGTGAAATGGGGATTGAATAGATGTGACGTTGAATTGATGATCGCGCGGCTTGGAAATATCTGTGGATGGGATATGGGCGCAATGAATCATGAAGCTCCGACGGGAATTAAAAAATAGTAACTTACATCAATCCTCTTTGCGTATCTACTGCTTTAATGCCCCCTGTAACTTCCCATGGGCCGGAAGTGAGGAAACGTGGAGTATTACTCTCGGCAGGATCGAAAAGAGCAATATGGTTGTAGCCGTCGTTTGGTACAATATCTAGATAGGCAGATGAATCCCCTGAACGCAGGCTATCCGGAAGAGGGAAAACATTTTGGGCCTGCAGTGAGCTTCTTAGTAAAGGATGACTACGCAATAATGCGAGTCACTTACGGTTTGAATCCAGCCCTCATCACCTTCCTCACCATCACTACCAAGCCTTCGGACTACCGTTCCGTACACGACGTCCGTAATTCCCATGTTTGTCAAGTCGAAGTACACAACGCTACCATTGTCTGCAGCGCGAGTAACCTCCTTAACAATGAGCGTCGATTGACCCACCCAGGTGACATCCATGATAATACTGTTAACTACAGGGAAGCGACCTTCCCAACTGAGCTCGGAAGTATAGATTTCGCCAATTGAGTCAGAAGATGTTTCAGATCGCTCATACTGTGCGATATCGAAAACATGCACGGAAGCAAGAGGGTTGTTGTAGCCTGGTTTGGGGTATTTGATGACGACGTCTTGGGTATATGGAACGACAGTATAAGAATCATCTGTGGGATTGTATATCGGGAACCGAAATTCGTCAACTTCGGTCTCATCGAGACGTAGAAAAGCAATCTTGCTCGAGTCGGGAGACCACCACAGCGTGTAATCATTTGTGAAAACCTCTTCTTCGTAGATCCAATCAGGCACGCCATTAAATAAAGATGTATTCCCCGAGCTAGTGACACGAATAGGAGGCGTAGAAGCACTGATAGAAAGCTATCAGAAGGCTTTGTTGTACGAACATCGAAACGGTGCTTACGACGGAGATGGAAGCACGTATATATCATTGGCAGCAACGAACGCGATAGATTGCCCAGTCGGGGACCAGGTAGCATAAGCAGTGACTGGGGGATGAGTGGGCGGCACCAATGGGTATGTTACTTTAGTGTTCAGGTTGTGCACGTAGTAATTGCCAAAGCTCGAATGACGCCATTGCTAGAAGTTGCACATCAGCATTCAAAGACTACGCTCATGGAGAATCTTGACCTTAAGATGGTCGGCCTTCACTAGTATATACGTCATATCCGGTGAAAGCTTCCAATCTGTCCAAAAAATAATGTTCCCCTCATCCTGGACAGCTCTAAATTTAATGCACGATGACTTTGGAGAGAAGGGCACTTACGTCCTTGATGTCCATCATGGAGACAAGGTTAGTCGTTCTATTACTTTTCAGGTCAACAAGCTGAATCTGGCCATTCTGGAAGATAGAGAAAACTCCATCGCCGGCTACGAAATATCTCCATGAGGGCAAAAGTTGTTTTAGTGCTACAACTGACCTTCTGGAACCCAGTTCACTTGCTCCCCCGAAGCACTGAATGTTCCATTAAATATATGGTCCAAGGAAAATTTCCTGGCACCTGGTAGTCGATAGGTTTGTCCATTGTAGAGAGATGTCGCAGCAAACAGTCCAATTGAGGCAGAAAGAAAAACCAGCGATGCTAGAGAGATGATAAGGTACTTTAGGCTAGCGGGCCTCTTTGATACAATGTAAGCAAAGAAATGAGAGCAATGTAAGTTATGACTGACTTTGTTCCCTCCTACCAGCAAGCCGTTTCCCGGCTCCGTGTCACCGAAGACATTCGGGTCGTCCGAAAGAACATGATCCTGCTTCTCAATGAGACCCACGCTTTCATCAGAGGAAGGCGCGTCGAAGGGGCCTTCTTCGTAGTATACAGAAGGTCTAATGGCCAGGTCTGGGTGTATTGCAGTAATCCTCGAGCGAGAGGCCAGAAGACCGTGAGGGCTATCGT